CATGAAAGACACTAACAAAAACAGCTTACCATGTTTGGTGACTGGTAGTGAGGATTTTCATATAAAGTTGGTCCTCCAAAACTTCCCTGGAAAATCTTTATGAGATTTAAGACGAAGCGAGGTCCTATTTCTACAAGAGCAGCATCTTCTTCTATGATCTTTAATAAAAAGAAAACATTTCATTTTGGTTTGGATATACTATTCCTAAAAGGTATATTGGCAAGAACCTCACTACAAATGAGCCTAAAAAACTGAAAATAAAAATTAAGGTAGAGGTGAAACCCGGCAAGTGCCAAACCATCAGCATTTCCTGAAATATATTAGTTACAGTAGTTATCAGGAAAAAATATAAAGGCTTTTAAGTATTCTTTTAAAACTGAGAAATTTAAATTTGGTTCATATCCTGCTTCTCACAAAGCATGCATCCTGGAAAACCATTGGTTAAATGTTTTTAAAACTGCGATTACTGTAACAAAATGTATTGAAGCACACTACAGGGGACCCTTTAAAAACTGTAATCAAGCCCTAAGTTGTTTTTATAAACCTAATCAAATGAAGTTAAAGGTATATAAAAGTATAGTACAGGGTCAAATTTATTTTTGAATGGCTACTGATTGAGGCCACTTCTGAACTACAAATATTAACACTGTATATTGTTTCAGATATGTCTGCCCTCAGAGGTTAGGGAGTATGTTGAGCTCCCTTTGCAAGGTACCCGATATAACAACCCATGAAGAGCCCAGTGCTTCACATGCTGCCTGAAACCTTGGATGTTTTTCCACCTCCCCACCTCTCTGAAGATTTATTATTATCCTGCCAAATTCCTTCTTCAAGATTTTCAGAATCACCTCTCCTCCTGAATGAGTCACCGTGTGACTCACCTAATAGTTCTCATTAAATGCCTTCTATAGAAGTTGTTTTTCTAAGTTTTAACCCTACCCCACGGAGATTCTAACTCCGCTTACATTTTACTGTGTCCTTTATAGCACCTAGCACAAATTTAGAACTCAATTGCTTCTCGGATCTTCAGACTATCTCCTTTTAAAAAAACTAAGTATATGGTCAATATGTAGTGGTATTGTTTGTCCTAATTTATTTCAAAATATAATTAAAAATTAATTAAAGCTAACCTGAAAGTTCCGAAACCATATCCTATTATCCAAAACAGTGAAAGTAAATACGTGGTCCACAAATGGTTGGCTTTTGGGATGGTAGCGTGGTGTACTAAAGATCTAGTGGGGAAAAAAAAAAAGAGTATGTTAGTTCCTTATTCTACGATCCAACATGTTTTAGTTTTAGATCGCTGAGTTAAGAAAAAGTCCAAAGGAAGACACCGATGTATAAAATATTACCAAAGGTACTTTCTACTTACCTGAATTAAGAGTTCTTTTAGCAAAGCATAATGTGGTAATTCATCAAAAGCCTGTAAAAATAAAGTGAGCATATTAATCGTCAATAGCAAAGTGCTTTGTTTAAAACTGTTTTATGTTCACTAAACTGAATTATACAACTAACTATAACCTCGAGAAACCACCACGCAGAGTAAAAAGTTAAGACTTCTTACACTAACTGCAAAACTTACAGGGTCAAAAGACAAAAGGGGCCGAGAACCTTTCAAACAGTTTCCAGTCATCTTTAGTTCAGCAAGGGTATGAACTAGAAAAGATTATATTAATAAGAAAAATAGTTATAATTTTGGCACAATTATTCCAAACGTTTTTCAATGTTCTCATAAAATTTTAACTTACTATTTTGAACTAGGAATTTAGCAGATGGTCCATGAGGTGAATTTGAAAGCCTGAAAAATAGGAAGGAAGCCTTTTAATTAGAAACTAGAATGTAGCAAATGTTTACTTTGTGTTTATAGTTAAAAAGATACTATAATGTGCTCATAACATTCATATATTTAATTTTTTTGAAGGTTTCAACTTTTGTGAAATTAAATGAGTTCACTTCATCCCCTGGCCCTGTCTTTTTACAAAAAAAAAAAAAGCCTGAAAGGCGTCTGTAAGAGGTACAAAGAATAAATCCATTTAAAGAACAAGTTCCACACCAATGTTACATAATACATTCTCTTACCACATATAGAGATCTTGTTTCTTCTTAGCTTCAAAATAGATACATTTATTGCAGTTTTTCATCTCACAAACCTAAATGGAGCAAAGTATAAAGAAATGAAGTAGATAAAATGAGATCTACAGCAACTCAATGCAATTAATACCAATACTCTTTCAAAAAACTTAAGCAAATTAATGAGCTACAAAGGTCTAAATCTAGTAATTGTATTTACTCACATAAAGAAACCTTTTCAATTCCTCTGGGTATTCTGCCCAAGGTAAACTCGACTCTCTGCCTGCCTCTGGTGTAAACATCTCCGCTTTTGGCCCCAGCATTTTAAAGTAAACGGGCCTCACTTCTGCCTGCTGGGAACCTCTTCTTCTGACCAGTCATGTACAAGCTACGAAGACTGAAAACAGATGCCCTAGGGGTACTGCACACTATAATGAGCATCACTACTCATAGGAAAAAACAGTCCTTATGGAACCAAACACATACTTTGTAATGGTAATTCTGATTTTTAACTCTTTCATTTTTTTAATTTTAAGATCAAGGTTTACAGAGTCACACTTGAGAAATATACAAAAGCAAACAGGAATAAAGTCCTGTAGTATTGTAGTACTAATTCATAAACTCTAAACTTTAAACCTAACAACTTAGAAAGTTCATAGGTGCAATGCTTTTCTTTCTGGTCTTGGAATGAACCCGGCAACACTACGCTACCATTTCCCAGTCCAACCTGAGCTGCAGGAAACCCAGGCCCTGCTTTAGTCTCCTGTATTCACTACTATTCTAAGGCTCTGCATTGCCTGCCGCCACCCCCCCCCAGGTTGCGATTCCACCCCCAATCACGCACAGGGTAGGGCTGATTTGGGGGTTGGGGCGCCGCACCCTGTCACGCGCTGATCCGGTGCCAGGAGGTCTCACGGTTCCGCTGATCCCGGTGCTGGGAGGCATATTACCCTTTTACTATATAGGATAGAGGCCTGGGGGCCGGCTGGTTTGCCCTGAAGGGTGTCCTGGATCAGGGTGGGGGTCCCCACTGGGGTGCCTGGCCAGCCTTGGTGAGGGGCTGATGGCTGTTTGCAGCTGGTCACACACCCTTCAGGGTGGGGGTCCCCACTGGGGTGCCTGGCCAGTCTGGGTGAGGAGCTGAGGGCTGCTTTCAGTCTGGCAGTTGACTGAAGCTCCCAACCGCTTTTTTTCTTTCATTTTTTTAAATTCTGGGCCAGCTTTAGCTCTGGCTCTAGCTCTGAGGCTTCCGCTGCTGAAAGCAGGTATCTTGTCTGTTTGCGTTCTATAATCGAAACAATGTATAACTCCAGCTCTGAGATCCCAGCTGGCTGAAAGCTGGTTTCTGGGGTTTTGTTTAGCTTCTATATTTGTTACAATGTTTCTTAGAGTTGCAGCTCAGAGGCTGGCAAGTCAGGCGGGGAACGTTGGAGTCTGCAGTCACTGGAGCAAGCAAGCCTCCTGTTCGCTTCAGTGCATGGCTGCCGGCCGCCATCTTGGCTGACAGTTAATTTGCATAAGGATATGCTGATTAGCCAATGGGAAGGGTAGCGGTCGTACGCTAATTACCATGTTTCTCTTTTATTAGTGTAGATTTCTGTGGTTCGGCTCTGTAAAATCACCCAGGGATTGGTGAAAAACAGAAGTGTACAAACCCTATTTTAATTTGAATTAAACTTCAACATCTTGAAGGTTTACAGAGTCACACTTGAGAAATATACAAAAGCAAACAGGAATAAAGTCCTATAGTATTGTAGTACTAATTCATAAACTCTAAACTTTAAACCTAACAACTTAGAAAGTTCATAGGTGCAATGCTTTTCTTTCTGGTCTTGGAATGAACCCGGCAACACTACGCTGACCATTTCCCAGTCCAACCTCAGCTGCGGGAAACCCAGGCCCTGCTTTAGTCTCCTGTATTCACTACTATTCTAAGGCTCTGCATGGCCTGCCCCCCCCCGCCCCCCCCCCCCCACCGGAGCAGGGAAGCTCCACGGTGACAAGGGGGCTGTTTCCACAGCACCTAATGCCATGACCTAGCACAGGTTCAACAATGTGTGCTGAATGGATCAAAAACCTAACAGCTAAAGAAAAGTATCTTTAAAAAATTCTTCTAAGTTTTAACCTCATTACTACTTTGTAGTATCTTAAGAGCAAGTACGACATAAATCACTCTACTTAACACTGGCAAAAAGCTTTCTACAATGTGGGGTTTTAAAAATACTTTTATCTTATACATGTTGACTGATAATTCTGTATGTGTACCCAAGTATGATAAAGAGAAGAATGACCAAGAAATAATACAGAAGCACTAAACTATAAGACGTAGACAGTGAGTACTATTAACAATGTAGAAGGTAGATTATTGAAGATTTAATAAAATCTGAGTATCTTTTATAAAGCAATGTAAAAGTCATTGAATAATTGACTTCCTAAATAGTGTTCCCAGAATATTTTACTTTAATTACTTTCTAAAATTACCTCATTAATCACAAATAACTTATCTTTACGATCCATTTTAGTATCTATAAAAAGAAAAAAAGAAAAAGCAAGTAAATACAAGATTTCTAAGCACCTTCAATCAAATCACACATGCTTTCTAGAAAATTATTTCTAAAGTGTCTTTGTAATCTTCACTTCAATGCAATTTTGTCAATATTCAACATGATTAGATCTGAAAACACATGACCTCTTGAAAATCTTGATTCTTTTTAAACGTGAAAATGAGTAATGAGCCCTGGCCAGGTGGCTGGATTGGCTGGAATGTCATCCTGTGCACCAAAAGGCAATGTGTTTGACTCAGGCTCAGGGCCCATGCAGGAGGCAACCAACTGATGTTTTTCTCTCACATCAATGTCTGTCTGTCTGTCTGTCTCTCTCTCTCCTCTCTTTAAAAAAAAGTAATTAAAAGTAGTCCACGAGAATTATAAACAATGATCTAAGCAGTGTTTCCTCAGACTTTATGTATTCTGTGAATCCCTTTCAAAAGTAAAAAAATTCTCACAACTGAACATCATGTTCTAGGACTCCAGTTTACAAAACACTCAAACTAAAATTTGAAGTAATGAAAATTTCTTTTAAATATGAATCACAGTTGCTAAAGGAAACTAGTAAAACAAAGGATTTCATATTATCACAGGAAAAAAGAAAACCGATATAAATTAAAAAATTTTCTTATTAGTGTCAGAGATCTGAAGATGTAGTAGCAGATCCGAGTTCAAGAAACACTAATTAGTAAAGAAAGACCTAAGTTACTATCTAGAATCAACACAGACACAGAAATAGCTCCATGATGGCACTGGCCACAGTTCCAAACTTAAAAACTAGATGTTCTTCACCTGCCGGTAAGATACCTCAGTGCTAAAAAGATTAGCTGGACACTGAGGAGGAGGAGTCCCACCTAAAGGTGCCTGAAATCCTGCTCCAGGTCCATTAACCTGTAGATGAGGACAGCTGTGGTTTGCAATTTAATGCAGAAAGCAACACACGGCAGCCCTGAGTCATGTAAAGAACAAACCAGGAGGCTGAGAGCATTGCTATGGAGGCATTTCTCCTGGACCCTCAAGAATGTTCCAGGAATCAGGATCTTTGTTTAAGAAAGTGAAGAGAATCTAAAATAATAAAAGCGTAATATGCTCATTAGACCGAACGTCCTTCTTTTGGGACAAAACAGCAGCAGGCGGGCGGCACAGTGGGCAGGAGCCGCGGCAGAGGCGGGAGGGTGCCGGGGCCCAGGCCCTTGCACCAATTTCGTGCTTCAGGCCTATAGTGTTCAATAAAGTTTGCAAAGAATTCCTGACAAAATGTTAACTGGAAAAATCTTGGCACTGAAAAAGATATACTTTTGAGAAAAGAGTACTGGTTCTTGACCTCACAAGATTGAAAAACTGATGTGTGACTTGAACTGGAAATATATAAATATGCACTTTTGTGAACATAAAATTATAAGTACATATAACATAAAGGCACCTGCTTTAGAATGAGGCATCAACATTCTTAAGTCTTGCATTAAATGTCTTGTTCTGAAATTTATTCCTCTGGAAGAAAAGATGAGAATCCGTTCCTTATTTTTCCACTTGCCCTAAAGAAAAATAAAATGTTAAAAGATTTTTAAATCTCAGAGTGAGCCTACCTTGTTTGTTTGTTTAAAGTGTCCAAGTAGCAAGCCAACAATCCTGACCAAAACTTTAATTCAACCTCTCAGTAGCATTCAGACCTCAACTGCCACCCAGAAATCCTCTCCTTGGCTTCCTTCCCTTGTTTTCCTTCAGTGCCTCCAATTCCTCCTCCTGACTCGATTCTTTCTTAGCCTCTTTTACTTCTGTCTCCCCAGGAGAGTTCTCATAATCATTCACAGCACGAGCTGTCAACTCTACAAAAGGGTAAAGAACTCCGTCCAGTCCTACTAATCTCAAACTCAATTCTAGAATGCTAAATCTCAGATCTGGTCAATTCCCATGTTCTTTCTTTTTCTGATGATGTCACCACCATCTCAGTCCCCCAGGCTTTGAATCCTCCTTGCCCTTATTCTTTCATCTCACAAGCACTACCAACTGCTGTCAATTTCCTTTGCAACAGCTCTTAATCCTTTCCTACACCCACTGCACTCCTTCAGACCCTCATAGTCCTATTCCTACTGCTAATCTCCTAACTGGCTAGCCTTCCTGGCCAGGAGCCCCTCCAATAGACGTGGCTGACAGCACCAGCTTAACCTTAAAGCTCAGCTCCCATCATCCTACCTCCTAGGTTTTTCTAGACAAAGTCCAAAATGGCAAAGCTTTCCAGTGGATTCTAAAACGCATTTATATTTTCACCTCATATTATCCCAAATCAACCCTACACTTTAGCCAATCGGGTTCTACTTTTTTTTTTTTTTTTTTTGAGAGTGCGTTTATTAAAGCTGTGGAGTAAAAGAAGGAAGGGCTTAAGATAGACGAAGCACCGGGAGAGACTAGGTGGAAATGCTTTGGCTCTAGAGAAACATTACGGGGAAAATATGAGCCGAGGTGGGCCTATGTGAGCTCACAGCCAGGGTCAGAGAAGGGGCCTTGAGACAGGTTCGGGGGTTGGCCCGGGATGAGCTGTTGCTGCCCACTGCTCCCCTGGTTCAAGTCCCAGGGGGTCCCTTACAGTTCAGGAGATGTGTGCCTGTGGGGTGGGGTGGGGAGGGGAAGGAAGGGAGCAGGTGTGCGCCTGGAGAAAGAGCACCTGGGTTAGTTGTTTTAATCCTCAGCGTTTCCCACACTTCAACACCCCTGATCAGTTTTCTCTTTCTCTCCCTTGTATAGTTCCCTCTCATTTCTGAGTATCAGAATTCTGCCCTTACTTTGAGATCCAGCTCAAAGGCTAAATAATTCCTTTACGATCTCTTACCCTATATTATCCTCGGGTAAAAGTAACCTCTATCGTCTGTCTTTCAACGGCATTTTTCAAATCAAGACTCACTGATACCAGATTTCATATCAGATCTCTGCGACTATCATACTCTTTCTTGGTCCTTATGGAAGAATGAGAGCACTAACATTTACTGAAAATATACTACATTCTTCACAACAAAAAAGGTGATCACATTTCCTTCCTCTGAATAGGCAGAAGAGAAAGAGTCCGGGATTTCACTGTTAATGAATGACAAGGCTAGAACGTAAACTCGTCTCTCATTCCTCGGAGCTAACTCCCTCCCCAGTGCCTGCCCCTGCACCATAGAGGGCCACCTTCTTACCACTGATTAGGTACTAATCACATGACCGCTTGAAAATCTCATTACTCTTTAGGGTACACGCTAAGCTGGGGGGCACGGGAATTAACCAATCAAAAGCACTTCCTGTCTGCACAGTCTGCGATCTAGCGGCTCACTTCCTTTAGAATAAAAACCACCAACTCAAATGAATTCTTTCTTGGGTCTCTTTCTAAACTCCAACGGTTCGGGGAGAAAGGAAGAGGTCGCGGTCCAGTGCTGCCATCCCAAGGCCGGGAAACCGGACTCCGTACAGCGCCCGTCCCGTTGGCTGTTGAATAAGTAAATCCCACCTTCTACCCTCGCTGCCGCCGGTTACCCCTCGAGCTAAACACCCGACAGGTCGGCGCCGGCCGGGGCTCCGCTGGTCCGAGCATCGTCCCGACCCCAAAGGGGTGGCGGCTCCCTTCCTGACGGGAAGCCGTAAGGGGTCTATGTTTTCCTCACATCGCTGTTTCTCTCTCTTCCGAACAATCAACAAACATCCTCGGGTGAGGATTTAAAAAAAAAACGAATTCCCAGTCCCAAGGACAGTACTTTTCAAAGCACCACATAAGCTTCAGGACCCCAGCCGCTGGCTATGGCAGACATGGGAAGACTAGTGACTGTTCAGGGATATAGCCAACATCTCGAAACAACTTTAAGGGGGGACGGGGGGGCTAGAAAACAGAACCGGAACCGAGTGCTCCCGAAATCGATTTCCCGCGAGCCCGCACGGTCGCTCGGCCGGACGCCTCCCGGGGGCAGCCTCGTGCACGAGGGTTAGATGGGAACGCGGTGGCCGGTGCGGCCGGGAGAGCTGACACCCAGCTCCCGCAACACAGAGCCACTCGGAAGCCCGCACGGCCGTGGTTGGGTCGGTGACCCAGGTGGAGACGCCGGCCGCCGGCCGCAGGGGAAACCCGGGGGCAGCCCTCTACCTTGCAAACGGGGCCTGGGATGCGATTCCTGTCTTCTTCCTCCGCCTCCTCTGCCTTGTCGCGCGGCTTCGCTGGAGGCCTGGCATCTTTTCCGCTCTTTCTCGGCCTCTTCGCCGGGACCGCCAGGCCTCCACGCCGCTTCCTCTTGGTGGCCGCCATCTTGCCGCGCCACCCCCGCTCTGGGCCTTCCTTCCGGCAGTGCCGCTCGCGCCCCTTTCCCGTCTCTATGGTCCCGCGCGCTCGGCTCTGGGTCCTCCGCCAGCCTTTGGCGCCTCCTTCCGGTCGCCTCTCTAGGCCGCGCCCAGCTCTATGGTGACGGTGGCCGAGACGGCCCGGCGGTCTGAAAGCCGTGGCGGGAGCGGGTCCACTTCCTCCCCGTTTCCCCGGGAGCTGCACCTCGCCTACCCATTGACCTGGGAGAGGATCCCAGGCGTCCCGACCCCACCGCGAAGGTACGGTTTCCGCGCCTGGGACCCGGGGAAGTGAGCAGATGCCCCCCGTCCCCTCCATCCCCCCGCGGCGGGCTGGGGAGTCGAGTTGCCTGGGACTCAAGGGGGGTCCTCTGAGAAATCGGGGCCTGTCCCCCCCGGGGCCGGGCGCCGGGCAGCTCAGACCGACTCGGTGGGGATCCTTGGCCCCGGTTCGACGTGGCGAACCTGGCCGTAAGAGCTGTTACCGGTTACCTATTTTCACGATTCACAACTTTTCGTGTATTAATGTCCTCTTACCTTAGACGAGGGAGCCGTCCGGCACTTCCCCCCAGTCACAGAGGCGGTGGGGTGCAGCCCCCCACCCCCGGCGCAGCGGCGGCCGCGGGGGGTCGCGCCGGCGTTGACGGGTCTTGCGGGTCCCCCAGGTGCTGCGGGGCCCCCCGGGAGCAGGTGCGGGAGCAGGTGCGGCGCCAGACGATGCCCCTCGTCGGCCAGCGGGTCCCAGACGACGGCGGCTGCAGCCTGGTGGCCAGCCTGGACAACGTGAGGAACCTCTCCACGGTCCTGAAGGCCATTCATTTCCGGGATCACGCCACCTGCTTCGCCACTAAAAATGGCATCAAGGTGACGGTGGAAAATGCGAAGTGTGTGCAGGCGAATGCTTTCATCCAGGTAGGTCCGTGGACAGCTCCGAGCCGGTGCCGTGGATACGCCGCGCCCAGTTCCATGAACCCCAAGGCTTTGGCGGACGTCATCGAAGCTGGAAAACAGCAGGGCGTTTGTTTGGCGTTTTTGTTTTTTTCTCTCCGTTACAAATTCTTTCCCCCGTGTTTTACAGAGATAATGGTTAAAGCTAATAATGTCCAAGGTTTATTAAGAGTCCAAGCACTCTTGTGAGTGTTTTCTATATTGAACTCGTCTAATCCTGACAATGGTCCTGTGAGGTGGGCTGCTATTCCCATGTTACGTATGTGGACACTGAGGCGCAGCTTAAGTGCGTGGCCACCAGTCCCGTAGCTTGCAGGCGGCTGAGCTGGGATGGGAACCCAGAACATTAGTTTGCAGAGCGTGTACTCTGTACCACTAGTTCCCTTATTAAAAACTAGTTTTCCCTTTTCTTGGTTATAATGTAACGTATTTGTTCTTACAAAGTTACATCTGTATGGTTCAGATTTCAGATTTAATTGAGCATGTTTTTGAACACCTCAGTGCATAGTATGACTTCAGGGATAAATGAGACATGGTTCTTGTTCTCAAAAGAAATTGAAAACTGTCACCCATGCATTATCAAATTGTTTGGCAGTTTTCCAGGTGACCTTAGCCGTATTGATGGCTCCAAGAAGGAGACTGGAGAATCACGTGGGGGATAGTTTAGATCCAAGAAACTAGATGAAGTGTTGCATGGACCTAAATCCCCGTTATACCGTTAACTATTGACTAGTGCTATTTTTTTTTTTTAATTTTATTTTTAAATAAATCCACTTTTCTTTTTTTAATATTTTTATTGATTTTTTTTACAGAGAGGAAGGGAGAGGGATAGAGAGTTAGAAACATCGATGAGAGAGAAACATCGATCAGCTGCCTCCTGCACACTCCCTACTGGGTATGTGCCCGCAACCAAGGTATATGCCCTTGACTGGAATCGAACCTGGGACCCTTGAGTCCGCAGGCTGACGCTCTATCCACTGAGCCAAACCAGTTAGAGCTATTCTTTTTATATATATATATATTTTTATTGATTTCAGAGAAGAAGGGAGAGGGAGAGATAGAAACATCAATGATGAGAGAGAATCATTGATTGGCTGCCTCCTGCACGCCCCCTGCTGGGGATCCAGCCCGCAACCCAGGCATGTGCGGTTAACTGGAATCGAACCCAGGACCCTTCAGTCTGCAGGCTGATGCTCTATCCACTGAGCAAAACCAGCTAGGGCTTGACTAATGTTATTCTAATGGATGATAGTTGAAAAAGCTTAAGATGTGTTGATTGATAATCAGAAATTATTTTCATGGGGTTAGCATAATATTGTTTTTTTAAAAGCATAAAAGTGAAATCTAGAACCTTATGTGAGGTCTCATTCTTAAGTATACTTATTTTTTCATGTTTACTTTTTTTCATAGGCTGGAATATTTCAAGAGTTTAAAGTTCAGGAAGAGCCTGTTACTTTCCGAATTAATTTAACTGTCCTTTTAGACTGCTTATCTATTTTTGGATCAAGTCCTACACCAGGTGAACCATTTAATTCTCATTATAATAATTAACGATTTTTCTGGACATAGAATGGCCAGGAAACGTTATTAGAATATAAGTACTTCTAGGGAGCGGCTATAGGGTCAAGCCTGGGACTGACCGGTGGCAGGGCCACAAACAAGACCCAGCTTGAAGGGCAGAGCCCTCCTAGCATAATTAAGCTTAACCTTCTAGTCCTCCCTAGTTTCTTCCTAGGTAGCTAATGGGCTGTGGGAGGGGTAGCAAGTGCTGCCAAAACAAGTGAAACTCACAAGAACATTGTAAACTGTGTTGATGACTTCCTTTGTTTTGCTTTGTGTGCTCTGACTATAAAATAAAGCTTCGCCTTGCAGGCTGTGTCTCTCCGTGTCCTCATCCAGGCTCAGGAGATCCACCTAGCCCCAGCTGTATTCTCTTTGTCTGTCTGTCTGTCTTGAATCCTTCACCATCCCTCCTCAGGCTCACTGAACCTGGCCATGCTGGACTCGGTTCAAGTACTATCAGCATTTCTTTAGAAAATGAATTGCCAATTCATTTTTCAATGGTGACAATCATGGATTCTGACTTTTTATAGTATTAATAGAAAGTGTGCTTATGGTTCTTTTCATATTTGCAAAAGTATTTACATTCATCTTTTTTCAACTTACAAAGCTTTTAAATTTGAACTAGTGCTTGTTTCAGCAGCACATATATTAAATTTGAACTAACCAAAAGAAGACTTGAACTTGTCTTAATTGTCTTTAACATTTGTGAAATGTTTTATTTGCTTCTCTTCCCTAACTTGTCCAGAATTACAGTTAGTGGTAGAGAAAAATAGAAACCAATTCTCCTGACTCTCAGTTTAGTGCATTCAAAATGTTTTCCCTTTTCTCCCATTAACTCCTGTTTATAAATTGTCTATTTTCCTAAATGCTTTCCTTGAAAATATTTATGTTTTATTTGTTTAGGGATTTTTTTAAGAATAGGGAATTTGGTTGCTATGGATATACTAGTAAAACTACAGGGAATTCCCAGAAGAATGATTTTATTTCATAAGAAAGGAATTGAGATTAACTAGGGAAAATTCAGTTATGATTCTCCAGAAAATATACTTTAATTTTATACTGACACTTCCATTGTTGTTAATTATACATTTTCTTTTTTTAATCCTCACCCGAGGATATTTTTTCATTGAATTTTAGAGAGAGGGAAAGACAGAAATATCGATGTGAGAGAAACACATGGATTGGTTGCCCGCTGCACGAGCCCTGACCAGGGCCGGGACAGCGGAGGAGCCTGTAACCTAGGTACATGTCCTTGGCCGGAATTGAACCCAGGACCCTTTGGTCCGCAGGCCAAGGCCCAAACTGGCTAGGGCATTCATTACATTTTTTAATGCAGCTGGTTTTTCATGAAAGCATCTGCCTTCCCCCCTTCCTCACTGTGGCCCTCCATCTTTCAGGAAGCTAAAGGAGCTGAGTGTCCTGTCATACCCTCTCTGTCTAATGGTTTGCAGTGTTAAAACCCTCACCTCCATGAACCATCCTCTCTTTTTCTCCCAATTTGATCTTAAAATTTTGGAAAATGTAAGAATGTCTCCCAAAAGAAAAGATTGGAAGGATCCTTAAAGTCAAGCACGTCAAACTCGTGGCCCGCGAGCTGAGAGTTGGACATGCTTGCTTATAGTGACTACACTGGCATTTAGTACCGATAATATCAACGCAACCCACTGTTGTACAAATTAGACCTTCAAGAAACAGCATGGTCTCTTCTGCAACAACTCTGTGACTTGCAGTATCAGACCATGTACTCTCCGTCCTGAAATTGTGTGTACATGTAATCAAGAAGGTATTTCGGAGGTGTTCTGCCAACCTGGAAAAGGATTTCAGAGTTACATTACACTTTGTTCCCAATTTTTTTGCAATTATGTTTGGAATTCGCTGATGACATTATGTACATCCGGAAAGATGTGATCCTTTCTAATAGAGACACACATTTATGCTAGAAATTGGGCAGGATAAAGTGTTCTTGAGGAGCTTTATGTGTCATTTGACAAAAACCTGAACCCAGAGGATTACAGCTAAGTCCAAAGTGTGATGCATTTCCATTGCAGGGAATTTAACCGCACTTCGAATGTGTTACCAAGGTTATGGTTGCCCCTTGATGCTATTTCTGGAAGAAGGAGGAGTGGTGACCGTCTGTAAAATCAATACCCAGGAGCCTGAGGAAACTCTGGATTTTGATTTCTGCAGCACCAATGTGATTAACAAAATTATTCTGCAGTCAGAGGGGCTCCGTGAAGCATTTTCCGAATTGGATATGACGAGTGAGGTCCTACAGATCACCATGTCTCCTGAGAAGCCTTATTTCAGGTACTTGCAGCTAATGTCCTTTACTCCTTCTTCCTATTTACACATTTGCTAAGGATGTAGGACTTACATAGAGTGTTATCCAGGGTCCTAGAATTTTCAGAACTTTAGCGAGCTTTTACTCTTCTCCCACACTTTTATTGATCAGGGCACTTAAGATCGGGAAAATTAACTCACTAGTTAATCTTCATAGCTGCAGAGTTAGGCAATGTTGGTTTCTAGATGAGTAGCTCGGTCTCCTACTTTAAAAACTAGTGGTCTTTTCATTGTTGTACTACTTAAACTGTTGTAGAAACAATGTCAGAATATTAATGAGTAAAGGG